GCTGATTGACTAGAGTTGTTTGGCAAAAGTAGCTGTACAACTAGCTTAAATTTGTTAAATGACTAAAAAATACATGTAATATTATTGATATAAAATTAGAATTATTAGGGGTAAAAACGGAAGAAAAAAATTAACAGCTCCTTCCCAATATTATTGATATAAAATTAGAATTATTAGGGGTAAAAACGGAAGAAAAAAATTAACAGCTCCTTCCCAAAGACAAACGCTACTTGAGGTAGCTTTCCAAAAGCTACTTGCAAAAGACACAATCTCCAAAATAATCTCCTCATATTTTTGGTCACCAAACAGCTCTACTAGCTTATTGACCAAGTCAATAAGACACAAGCTCTTAGATAAGACACTTTTTTTGGTTGCCAAACAGTGCCTTTATCTACAATAAAGGATTATTCATTAACCATTTAAAGAGACTAGTATAGTGCACGTGCGTTGCACGTTGTTGGGTTAATTTTATGTTTATCTTTTTTTTATAACAAGTTTGGTGTTAGATGTAATTTGAAGGTTTTTGCTATCTTTTTATCATTAAAATTCTAGAGTAAATATAATTTTTTATGAGGTTTATTTATGACATTTCAAGGTTCTTTCTGTAAATTTTATAACATATCTATAAAATTATGAAGTTTTAGGGATGTTTTGCAAATTTAAAGGTTTACACTATAATTTTTCTAATAATTTTATATGAAAAAGTTTAGTTTTATGAAACCAGAGCTTTCCAATAAAATTTATGGAATACCTAAAAGACATTATTTAATTTGTGAACCTAAAAAGCATAATTCTATTTGTTTTATAATTTAACATAATGTCTGACGTTTATAATTGAGCACATGCTGGTGTTTTTTATTCACAAATTTGTAATATAGTTATACCATTAGGAAAGATAAATAACATACTGACTGTAAAATAATAATTTAAATATTTGTATTAAAATGAAAATTTTTATGTTCTATGACAACTAATAAAATACTCTATTAGAACTAAAAAAAATTTAACCAAAATCTATATAGTCCTCTGAAAAGACTTAATCAGAGCTTCTTCAATTGTTAAGAACAAACATCATCAAAAAAAAATTATGGGGTCTTACAGTAATGTGTGTCATTATTTTGCTCAACAATATTTTTAAGTTGAACCTACAAATTTCAATCTGACAAAACTTTTTGTGAATAATGGATTTTGCAACTCAGTACATGATTTTTTAAGGAACCATCATGATGGGTATGACCAAAGTATATCCTCAGTTTAAAGTTAATTTCCACAATAGCAAACTGAATATTATTTGACGTTAAAATTTTTAATCTTTTTTCTTCGTTACGCTGGAAAATATGGATTGCTATGTGCATATTATGCTAGTGCTAAAGATCTTTGCATATACATAGTAAGAGCAGAACCTAAAAATCTCAAACTCATTTATATAAATACGGGAAACTACTCTTTATTTCTTCTTCAATTATTCATCTTACTTGATCAGCTGGAAGTGAAGTAACTTGATGTGTCATTTCCAGAAGTTAGTCTTAAGACCTTGAGCTCTAAATAATACACACATCACGAAGCCTCACTCTATATTTAGCTTATTTTGAAATCTTACTTTATAAGTGTTAATAATGAAGTAGGAAATTATACTTAAAAGAGAATTCATATAAAATTTTAAACAAATTAGTTATGATTTATAGTGGCTAGTATAAAGATAAACAGTTGAAACATTCTCTATAATTATGGTAGTGATCATTAGTGAGAATTAAAAAAGAGATAGTAGGAGATTAATTTGTTATTGGGAGGATGTAAAAATTAAATATATTTAGTTTATGCCGAAATTAAAGGATAGTGTTTGTTGGGGTTGGGGGGTTGGGGTGAAGTTTCATTATTGTTAGTGATAGAGATTAATGGATGAAATTAAAGATTAGGGGAAGGTTATGAGTGAAAGATTAAATAAAAAATTTCTAGATAATTAATGGAGAGGTTATGAATATGAAGAGGTTATAAGTGGGACATTATTATTATTATTATTATGTCCAACTCTTTTTACCCATTTGCATCATCTTAAGTTTTGATAGCATATTACAACTATAACTTTAAATAAATTATTTTAAGTAAAACATACTTTGTTAAATCATGAATTTCATACTTGATTGGGTTTTATGGTTCTCAAAACAATAGTTAAATATAAACTTAAAAAATCTTGATTGACCAATGAAGACATAAATTATAATAAGCCAAATCAAGCAAAGAGAAATTCTAATAGTAAAAAATCAGTTGAAACATTCTCTATAAAAGATAGAGAAAGAATCTTTCACTATAAATCATGCTAATCTCATCATGTTATAATAAGAGATAGTAAGTAGTGGTTGGTTGTGCAGAGAATGAAATCCAAATAGGCAAAATCGGGACAAAGAGACGTTCAAGGATTTGAGGAGGTGCAATGGAGATGATGAGGGTTGCATATGATGTACTCATTTTTGTAAGAGATTTGTTATGATTTATAGTGGTTTAGTAAGAAGATGAATGGTTATAACATTTTTTTAATTGTGACAGTGATAATTAGTGAGAATTATAAGAGACTAATATGTTAATGAGAGGTTATAAAAATATAAACAACTTAGTTATGGTGAAATTATTTTAGGGGTTATGAATAATAATGCATTTAATTGGTGGTTATGTACGTATGAGATATGGTTTATGTATAGATGCATATGTTTTATGTATGCATGTATGTGTTTTAAAGGGCATTTTCGGAAGAAATGTTTTAACATACCAACACACTTTTATAATAGTATTAGATGAATTAGTAAATCCCCCCAATTTGAGTAATTACCTCATCTTAACCCTCTTCCGGTTTTTATATTGGACAAACTACTACGAATTAAATCAATTATATCTTATGCAAATCTTTATGCTTGGCAAGCTAAAAGAGATCAATGCTAGCAATAAAACCTAAACAAAGATCACAAAAGAAAGAAGGAAAACCAGTGAAAATAATCAAAGAAAAACATAGATTTAACAAGGTTTAACCAATATGATTACCTATATTGTTGGACATTAATGACGAATCAATGTTCCACTTATAATCAATGAAGATTACGTACAACCACTCTCTTAGCTCCTAGAGCATGTTTGGCAAACCACACAAAATTAGGTCAGGACTGGTCCTGATTTAGTTTTGTGCTAAACCAGTTTTCTTTTGCGCCAGCCCCTCCGATCCAAAAGAAAACTGATTTAATGGGCAATTTTAGGCTATAAAAAATTGGGCCAGCTGTAAGCCTCTCAGTTGTCAAACAAGAAATCACATAAATTTGGGTTAGGTTTAGTTTTGACCCAAATTTACAAGGTTGCCAAACACACCTACGCCTCGTTTGGTACGCGGGAATGAGGAGGAATGGAATGCAATTCCCACTTTCCATTCCCTCATACCAAACACACCTATATTTTAGATGTTGGAATGACCATTCCCTAGGAATGATCATTCCCACTATTTGTGGGAATGAGCATTCCAAGTGAGAAGATAAGGAATGGTCATTCACATTCAAGTGAGAATCAAAAACTAGTTAGGTATTTTTCAATTATATCCATATTAATAATAAAGAATGTTTGGGTGAGGCGCTATGCAAGTGGGCAATTTTAGATTGACAATTTAGGCTAGTATATCATTTTGCTATTTCGAAACTTATTATTTTAGTTGGTATTGTTTTATGGATTTTTGCTATTATGAATTGAGTGATTTTGATACTTTATCAAATAAGTTAATTTATATATCTAGAACTGTGGATTGTGGATATCATTCTTTTTTTTTGGACCTATGAAAGATACGATAATCTTTTTTTTTTCTTTAATTTTTAAGACTAAGAAATAGCGAGTATTGTTTAAAAAATATAAACGAAACATACACCTGATGGATAACATGAGCATTAGTATAACACATACCTAGATTAATATAACATATACGTATATAAAATTATTTAGTTGTTATCATTAATGTTTATTTTTTATCTTATTAAAAATATATGTTGTTATAAGGGCATTATTAGAAAATAAGATTTCATTCTTACTTGTGTACTAGTGATACCAAACATAGGAATGAGAATGAGATTTCCATTCTAGCTTCATTCTACGAACGCACCCAAACAAGAGAATGAGAATGATCATTCCATTCCCACATGCAATCCATTCCATTCCTTCTTTCATTCCATTCTCAAGTCTGTCCATTCCCGCGTACCAAACGAGGCGCTAGAGTCTCACACACCTATCATCCGTATTATTTTCTATTTTGGATACAACTCATTGAGGTGGCCCAAGTTGCATATTCACATCACATGATATGATTTCTTTTCCATACAACTAAAATACAAATTAAAATACTCTCATCCCTCTGTTGGGTGTCTACTTACAGACTTACAATTCTTGACTTTTATGCTGTGCATTTTCCGTATAAGTCGGACGCTATGCACAAGAATTAACTCTCCCCAACTTGAATTGTTGCAAAACGACCGTTTACAAGGCCAATTTAGCCCATCAGCAACATGCCCCTGCAGGCCCAACTAGCCAGCCCAGTTTGGCTTTAATCACCACCTCATGCCGGAGTCGACCGCATCAAATTCAAAATTATCCCTCAAATCTTCAATATTTGCAAAAGTACCTCTTAAATCTTTGTATTTGTAAAATTAACCTTCAAAATGAGCGCATTGAAAACTAGCGTATTGGGTCTTTCTACTGCTATAACTTAACTACACTATTTTTCAAACCAAGCAACGTAAAAGACAAGTTCCCGAAAATCTCCAAACATGTTCGCAACAGTTTTCCGTCTAAAAACTAAAAATGACGAGCAGGAGGGTGAGAGAAAAAAACCAACATGAAATCGAAAGGCAACTGTACAAATAGCAAGAGCTAGAGGGGGATTTTGCCACTATAAGAGATTTGAGGGGCATATATCCAAAAAGCCCCTCTTTAAAAAGTTCACGGGTCTTGCTCGTGTCAAAACCTGAAGTCACTCCGACACGCAGTAAAACGTGGCATAAAATGAGCTCATCTTCTCCTGCTCTTCTCTCCGCGTCAACCCTCTACGTGTCGCCGTCTCCTACCTCCGACAACCGCCATTGATGAGCTTAAATACATCGACAGCTCTAAGCCGAGAGAGCATCATCTGTGACATCAAATTATACTAAAAAAGTTTAATTTTTTTTTTCAAGTTGAAAGTTTAATTACGAGGGATTAGTTTTAGTTAAGCAAGAGAAGATGGCATCAGCACAGGAGAGGGCGGAGCTCGACGCCAGAGCCAAGCAAGGCGAGACCGTGGTCCCCGGCGGGACACGTGGCAAGAGCTTGGAGGCCCAAGAGCATTTGGCTGAAGGTCGTTAATTTCGGGCTGGTTTATTAAAAACAACTAACATTTTAATCAGTTCATATGAATCAGCAATAAATCCAATCTAAGTGGATAGGAGTCTCTCTTGTCCGTCAATTTAATTTTTTTATTCTTTGATTTTGCTTTGAGATTAGCACGCGCGAGTCATAAAACAAAATCTAATTAAGTCTTAAGGCTAAAACAGATGGACAACAAGCTTTAATTTATATATCCACTCTTTCTAATATAGCTAATTATAGTTATCTATTACATAATGGTGTGATGATTAATTAAGATTTAATGAATATTTAGGTCGAAGCAAGGGAGGGCAGACGAGGAAGGAGCAACTTGGAACAGAAGGCTATCGTGAAATGGGCCGGAAAGGCGGGCTGAGCACGGGTGATCAGGGAGGAGGAGAGCGCGCTGCCGACGACGACGAAGGGATCGACAATATCGACGAGGCTAAGTACTGAGATCGTTTGGCCCGTACGTGGGGGGGCTTTCTTCATATATGTACGTAAATAAAGTTTAGATGCATGTGGTTGATGTTGTGAGTTTGGATCAGGGTGAACGTACGATGGAGTTCCGTGTTTGGTTTCGTTTTTTGTAGGGTGTTTGTTTGTTTCGTCACTTTGTGTTCTCAAATCTCAATGAAGTGGTGATGCTTTGTTTTTAAATTAGCGTCTCTCTTGTTATAATTATCTGAGATTATATTCGATCTCGAAAGAAATGCTGAATTTTTTTAACTATATATGCCGGTTTATAAGACTTTGCAGGGATTATAAACAAGAGAGACGCTAATTTAACAGCAAAGGGTTAAAAGGAAGAGGGGTTTTGGTAAAGGGTTAAAGGAAGAGGGGTTTTGGTAAAGGGTTAAGGAAGAGGTTAAAAAGAAGGATTAATGTACTTAGTCCATTCGATAATATGAAGGACTAAATTATTAACCTGTTAAATAGTTTTATTTTAGTTATTGTGATCAGTTTTAGATCAGTTTTAGTGTTTGGGAATAACAATGAGTTTGACTATTTTTTTTATAATTAGAAGGGTTAACTCTTAACCTATCTAAGTAGTAGTATTAGTAAATCCTTTATTTTGAGGGGTTAACTTATTTTAATCCCTTTAGAGAGGTTAGCTTAACCCTTCTAAAACCATTTTCTTTATAGTTAGAAGAGTTAATTCTTTATCCTTCTAAATAGGAGTATTAGTAAACCCTTTATTTTGAGGGGTTAACTTATTTTTATCCCTCTACAGGGGTTAGCTTAATCCTTTTATATTTTTTATGTATGATAAATTATGGAGGGTTGACTCACTTTAACCCTTATATTGAGTTTTTGTGTGTGGCGAGTTAAGAAGGGGTTAAGTCTTTTTAATCCATCACTTAACTCTTTGTCAAGCAGTACTTAAAAGTATACAAATAATTATCTAGAGAAAATAAAATAAAATATTAAGTCACAAAATAATTAACATACATATTGGATACACGTAATTATCTAGAGGAAAAAAAAATTGTTTAGTTACGGAATAATTAACTTACATGCTGGAAGGATGAACTCCCCTAGAAAAGGGTCCCAGTTGACCACCCCTCAGGAGCTGAAGCCTGCACATTTTACATGGGCCACATCTTGCGCAGAGAAAGGCTGTTTATCGATGCTTGTAGTTAGAATAAAATATTCTACACTCTTCGCTTGGTCAACATTCTATATAGTCCAAAAAAGAAAAAAAAGAAAAAAAAAAACTCTTGTATCATGCTCTAAGGTAAATAAAGCAGAATAACCATCTTTTTCTTATTCTTTGCATACCTTTCTCATTCCTTTTTACAATTGAAAATATACAATTCAGATCACACGTTACAACTTGTTGGTAGTAGGTACAAACAACCTCAACGTTCACAAGTAAAACCCTTTGCCAGCTCTCTTCAAACCTAACCTCCACGTCTTCTCACAAAAAAATAAAATAAAATAAAATAAAACTTAAAAGTAATTATCATCAAGAAATTAAAGAATTAAAATTTGTTAAAAATGTTAAAAGGTATTAATTAACTTTACTAACTCCAGGGTTTCGATACGATGCGAGCGTATAGAAGCTCGTTCCATGTATCGGGCAATCCAGGCAAACACCAATGAATGCAATCAGCATAAATCTTAGAATCAGCTTTCTGTTCTGGCGTTAGCAGTATCCCTTGTCGAATTGTATGGACAGAAGTATGCGCATCTTTTCGATACTCCGATAACATCGTGATATCCATGAAATCTATAGGAACCTTAGAAGTTGATCTTGTTATGTTGCTTGCAACATTGTGCATTTTTCGGTCAGTTCCGACCGAGAGAGGTTGAGTCGTGCTCGGGATTGGTTGAGTCTCTTTGGCGCACTTGATTCCGTCTGGATTGCCCCAGTCTGAGCTACTGTGTTTCAACAAGTTGAGATTCACTTTGTTATTACAATGTTGATGGTGATAGTAGAGGTGTTTTGTATTAGGCTTAATTGCAGATAGATCTCTGTACTATTGCCAAACCGCGGGTAGACCCACTATGCAAGTTTGTAGCGAGTAAATTGAGTAAATCAATTTATAAATCATGATCCTAACATGGAACAAACATAATTGAGAACCCTACGAAATATCTGTAATAATAAAAGTACAGGGGTCTATCTGCAAATTGGCCATGGTACAGAGGGTCCGCCTGTAATTAGTCCTTTATATTATTGGCATCAAATTGTTTATGGGAGTAGTTTACCAACTAACTAAGGGCATTATGTTGAACAAATGATGCGTGGCTTTAAAGTTCTAGTGTCATTATTGGATTGGCGATGCTAAAAGTTTTTTCTCCAAGTTGTATGATTGTGATCTATTTCAAAAGGATACTCGCAATTGCTAGTCGCCATTGACACAACATTTTCTTACTTTCAGCGTCACAAGAAGGATTCATATTCTCTTTAAGTTCTAAGCGGAAGAGATCATGTATAATCTGAAGAGGAAACAACGAAGTTCAGGAAATAGCGAAGGATAGGTTTGAGTTAGGGCTGGTCAACCGACCGCGAACGTGCACGAACGTCGGAAAAGTCTCTGGACTTTTTGCGCGGTCGACCGTGGCCAACGACAGAGAACAAAAAACCACTACAGGGTCTCGCGATCGACCGCCGCGTCACTTGCGGTCGATCGCAAAAAGTCCAGAGACTTTTCCAATGTTTATGCATGTTCCGATGTTCGCGGTCGACCGCAGCTCCACTCGCGGTCGATTGGCCTGAACTCAAAACTATCCTCGGCGCACAACAAGCGGCTTCCGCCGCGCACAACATAATCATTTATTGATATATGGTTATAATTTTCGGTAAAGATAAAAACGTGCTGTTCGTCATATTAGAATTGAAAAGAGCGGTGATTACCAAACATTTATACTTGAGAATAAAAAAGACTAGTTGGACTTAATTCCAAAAACAGATTGGAAATCTCAAATTTCTTATACTTAAGAATTACGATAATTACTCCTTTGGTTGACATTTGTATATTAATTTAGTACATATGTCTGCACGTCTTTCTATGCTAACCGCATAAGACAATTTTGAAGTATTAAAAGTCTTTAATTAGTGTTCCCTAGCTTAATATCAACAATTAAGTGGTCAAGCATAGTTTATACCTGAGATGGATAGGAGACATGCTATTGAAGTACACTGAAGTCTTCTGTGCATCCACATTCTCATCCACCCATCTGGTCAGCGTCTTCAAAACCCTCTCATATGCTATCGACCTCCGGATCTCATCGTACTCCGTCGATCCCTCATCGAATGATCCTCGTCTACGGTCAAAACACAAACTATAAACCCCATATTTCTAAAATCAAATAACCATCATGAACTTAAAAAAAAAAAAAAAACTTACAATACTTTCATATTTCGCGTGTTCATCCACCAAATGTAGGTATTGAACACAAGGTAGTCCACCCCCTTCCAATGTTGTGCATGTTTTCCGATCGAATCAGCCATTATGATTCGATCAAGAATGCTGTGCATCGACGGGTCATCACAGTTTGACTCAACCAGAAACGGAGCCCAGTAGAATTCTACGGTCGCGTTGTACTCCTGCAATTTTCTGAGATAAAATGCCTGTTCTTTTCTATAATATGAACTTGCGTGAATGAAATTTCAAGATATAAAAAATTTAATTACCTCAGCTTTAAAAATACTGAGGGAGCCGATTTTAACCCGAGATTTTTTGCCAGGTGGGATCAAGGATTGAACCAAACACACCATTGACTCCCATTGATTCCTGTTGAGTGAGTCACCAACGAACATCAACCTCTTCCCTCTTAGCCTCTCGAGTAACATCCGTGCATCGAACCTTTTACAGAAAACCCCCTAAACAATTCAAAAATTGCACGATATGTAGGAAAAATCTAAGAAAAATTGCATGAATTTTTTGTTTAGTTTTTTTTTGGGGATATCAGTCCCTAGAGCTCATCTATTTTCGAAGCAGCCTTCTGAAACTTTTGCATTGTTTGTAGTGCAAATCTGTTGCACATAAAACCCCTAAACAATCAAAATTTGCATATTTCACAAGAAACCTCAGAATTTGAAAATTACCTCGGCAATGAGCAGTCTCTAGGCTGCCACCTCCATTTCTGATACGTATCGTCCTCCCTCCCATTCGCCATGCACGTTACTTGCTGCGTTAAGAACTCACACTCTTCCTCTCTATACAAAGGGTGGGTGAGATTATCTAATACCCACCCTCCGGTGAACAGATCGCAAGCATCCGGTATGCTCACCACCTCCTCCTCATATGTTTGTGGGCTTTGTCGAATGGGCTCCTGGACTTTTGAGGAGGAGGAGAAGGAGAAGGAGAAGGAGAAGGAGGTGAGAGAGCGGAGGTCTTCGCTGTAGATGTAGATGGCAAAGAGGAGCACTGAGAGGATGATGATGGAGATTGAGAGGTTGCTTGGTTTTAGATTGCTTGGCTTCATTGTGAACGAGAATGAGTGAGAGAATTTTGAGGAAGAAGGAGAGCATTTATTTGAAGGAGGAGGAGGAGGAGGAAGGAGTGGAGGATTAGGTAATGGTGCTTTCTTGTTTAAGTAAGGATTTTTAAATGTGAGGTGTTATTTGTTTATTTATTTATTTTTAACTTGTTTGGGCTTTTTTAGTTAAAAATGTTTTAAATTAATTTTTTGGTTAGGATTTAGTGACAAGGAAAGAGAGTAGGATGATCAATTTGATTGGTTGGTGGAGTGTACAAAGGGGAAGGGGTTGATCGAGACATTGTAATTTGCAACACCAGCCTTTAAAATGTTGAAATTTTGGTTTTGTTTCCCCCCTCTTTTTTGGCATAATTTGATGAAGGAGTTGTTAGAATTGGGGGTGGAAACCAACCTCCGCCGGCGACGAGGAGCTCCGACGAGCTCGGAGATGACGCAGGCGAGGTCGACGGCGAAACCCCAGGCGAACGCGACAGGCTGTCGCCAGCCTGTCTCGTTCGGCTATAAAAGCCCCCTTTGGCCCTAGGGTTTTGTGCTGCTGAGCTTCCCCCTTTCCGATTTTTTCCCTCTGGCGGCAGCAGCGAAAACCTCCCCCTCAGAGCGCGGCTTCTCCTTCTCCGATTCTTCTCTGGCGGCGGCACAAAAATCGCAGCAGCGATTCCCCTTTGTTCATCTCTAGCTTTCAACGACGGTTGAGGGAGATTAAGAAAAGGTTTAAGAGAGAGAGAGAGAGAACTAAGAGGGGTTTTATATTGTGGGGTTATTATTTAATCTCAAGTGATAATTGAAAGGGATTATTCCCTTTAATTATTAACACTGTAGCTACAGTGTTCATATTTGAGAAATCTCAGTTTAGGGATTTGCTCTTAAATTGTAATTTCTTGTTTGATTAATAAGAAATTGACTGTGTGGCTCCCGAGGACGTAGGCAGTTGCCGAACCTCGTTAAAACTTGGTGTACTATTCTCTATTCTGCGTTTCTGTTGCATTAGGGATTTAGGCGTTAAATTCCCAACAAACTGGTATCAGAGCGTGAAACGATCTAGAGGAAGTCAGATTCAAGTGGGAGCCATGGCCGCAGATGAAGGGAAAATAAGACTTGAGAAATTTGATGGAACAGATTTTGGATTCTGGAAAATGTAGATAGAGGATTATCTGTATCAGAAAAATCTGTATCAACCACTATCGGGGAAGAAACCGGATTCTATGAAGGAAGAAGAGTGGAACCTTCTAGATAGACAAGCCCTCGGAGTTATCAGATTAACGTTGACTCGCAATGTTGCGTTCAACATAGCGAAGGAGAAGACCACGGCAGGTCTTATGGCAGCACTCTCAAACATGTATGAGAAGCCATCAGCCGCGAACAAAGTTCATTTGATGCGACGGTTATTCAATCTGAAAATGGCGGAAGGCGCGTCAGTAGCACAACACCTCAATGAACTTAATACGGTTACAACCCAATTGAGTTCAGTTGAGATTGAGTTTGATGATGAAGTTCGGGCGTTGATACTTTTATCTTCCTTACCAGAGAGTTGGAACGCTACAGTCACAGCTGTGAGTAGCTCGTCGGGAAAGAAAAAGTTGAAGTTTGTACCAGAGAGTTGGAACGCTACAGTCACAGCTGTGAGTAGCTCGTCGGGAAAGAAAAAGTTGAAGTTTGGCGACGTTCGTGATTTGGTTCTCAGCGAGGAGATCCGACAGAGAGAGACGGGTGAAGCTACAACCTCTTCAGTATTACATACAGAGTCAAGAGGTAGAAATTCAACCAGAGGAAACGGACGAGGAAAATCAAACTACAGAGGTAGATCAAAGGACAGGAGGTCCAAATCAAGGAATCCAAGCAACAGCTCGAAGGCTATCGAGTGTTGGAATTGTGGAAAGACCGGGCATTACAAGAATCAGTGCAAGAGTGCACAGAAGGAGAAGGAGGCGAAGGCAGAGGTGAATGTCACCTCCACCTCAGGAGGAGACGACGCATTGATATGCTCTTTGGAGAGCAAGGAGGAATTTTGGGTGTTAGATTCAGGAGCGTCGTTCCATGCTACTTCTCAGAAAGAATTCTTTGAGAAGTATACCCCCGGAAATCTTGGATACATATATCTTGGTGATGATCAACCGTGTGCTATTGTGGGCAAAGGCGTGATGAAAATTAAGTTGAACGGGTCAGTATGGGAGCTGAAGGATGTCAGGCATATTCCCGACCTGAGAAAGAACTTAATATCCGTAGGCCAGTTGGCTGGCGAAGGATATACCACGACCTTCCATGGAGATGATTGGAAGATCTCAAAGGGCGCAATGACGATTGCCCGAGGCAAGAAGACTGGTACCCTGTATATGAAAGCAGGTGCACGTTGTTCGATCTCAGTTGCAATGAGACTTCAAAGCTGTGGCATCAGAGACTTGGTCATATGAGTGAAAAGGGGATGAAAATCATGCACACAAAGGGAAAACTCCCAGGACTGCAGTCAGTGGAGATGGATATGTGTGAAGAATGTATACTTGGAAAGCAGAAGAGAGTCAGCTTTCAGACAAGTGGCAGAATCCCCAGGAAACAGAAGCTAGAGCTCGTTCACTCAGATGTGTGGGGACCAACAACCACCGCGTCCATTGGTGGAAAACACTACTTTGTGACTTTTATCGATGATCACTCTCGGAAAGTGTGGGTCTACTTTCTGAAGCATAAGTCAGAAGTATTTGAGGCTTTCAGGAGATGGAAAGCTATGGTCGAGAATGAGATCGGTCTGAGAATAAAGAAGCTCAGGACCGATAATGGCGGTGAGTATGAAGACACCGGATTCAAAAAAATTTGCTATGAGCACGGGATCAGAATGGAGAGAACCGTGCCCGGCACGCCTAAGCAAAATGGTGTAGCTGAGCGGATGAACCGAACGTTGACAGAGAGAGCAAGAAGCATTCGAGTACAGTCAGGCCTACCGAAGCAGTTCTGGGCAGAAGCGGTCAACACAGCAGCTTACTTGATCAACCGAGGTCCATCGGTTCCATTGGAGCACAGAATAACAGAGGAGGTATGGTGCGGAAAGGACGTAACACTCTCACATCTTAAAGTTTTCGGTTGTGTAGCTTACGTGCATATTAGTGATCAAGGCATGAATAAGCTTGATCCCAAGTCAAAGAAATGCACTTTCATCGGCTATGGTGAAGATGAATTCGGCTACCGCATTTGGGACAACGAAAACAAGAAGGTGATCAGGAGCAGAGATGTGATATTCAATGAGAAGGTGATGTACAAGGACATGCACAAGACTGACGACTCAGAGAGCGAGTCCACATTTATAGATGCAGATGATGTCCCGAATAACCTCTCGGAAGAACCCAATGCAGAGGGTCCTCAGCCAGAAGAGCCTATTGGACAAGATGGTGCGCAGGAGCCCGACGCACCAGCTCCGATATTAAGAAGATCTTCTCGTCCTCCTGTACCCAACAGGAGATACATGAACTATCTGTTGTTGACAGATGGTGGGGAGCCTGAAAGCTTTGATGAAGCTTGTCAGTGTGGAGATGCGAGCAAGTGGGAGCTTGCAATGAAAGATGAGATGAAGTCTCTCATATCAAACCAGACGTGGGAACTAGCTGAGTTGCCCACGGGTAAGAAGGCACTCCACAACAAATGGGTGTACCGGGTGAAAGAGGAGCAGGATGGTTCCAGGAGATATAAAGACCGATTGGTTGTCAAAGGTTTCCAGCAGAAGGAAGGAATTGACTACACCGATATTTTTGCTCCCGTGGTGAAGCTAAATACTATCAGGACCGTGATGAGTATTGTAGCAATTGAAGATCTTCATCTCGAGCAGTTAGACGTGAAGACGACATTTCTTCACGGAGATCTAGAAGAGGAGATATACATGCACCAGCCAGAAGGTTTCTCAGAAGAAAAGAAGAAGAACCTGGTGTGCAGACTCAAGAAGAGCTTGTATGGCCTGAAACAAGCCCCAAGACAGTGGTACAAGAAGTTTGACGGTTTTATGCACAAGGAAGGTTTCCAGAAGTGCAACGCAGACCACTGTTGCTAATTCAAAAGATATCAGTCCAGTTATATCATCCTACTGCTGTATGTTGATGATATGTTGGTTGCAGGAGCAAATATGAAAGATATCAAGAGTTTGAAGCAGCAGCCGTCAAAGGAGTTTGACATGAAGGACTTGGGTCCAGCGAAGAAGATCCTTGGAATGCAAATCACGAGAGATAAGAAGAAAGGTCTTTTGCAGTTATCTCAGACGGAGTACATCAACCGTGTTTTGCACAGATTCAACATGGGCGATGCCAAGCCTGTGAGCACACCCTTGGCTAGCCATTTCCGCCTGTCGAAGGATCAGTCTCCTCAGTCAGAAGAAGAGAAAGAGAGTATGGCTCAGGTTCCTTACGCCTCAGCTATCGGAAGTTTGATGTACGCAATGGTCTGTACGAGACCAGACATTGGCCATGCAGTGGGAGTGGTCAGCCGGTTTATGTCGAATCCAGGAAAAGCTCATTGGGAAGCGGTCAAGTGGATTCTGAGATATCTACGAGGCACCACACAGAAGTGTTTGCACTTTGGTAAGGGAGAGGTAGAAGTGCAAGGGTACGTAGATGCAGACTTCGGCGGCGAAGTTGATCACCGAAGAAGCACCACCGGCTATGTATTCACCGTTGGAACTACAGCTGTTAGTTGGATGTCATAAAGAGATGATATGGCTTCAAGGTTTGTTGACAGAGCTGAGATTCAAACAGGAGAAGAATGTTTTGCATAGTGACAGCCAGAGTGCGATACACTTGTGTTCGCGGGGAAAGTTGGTGTTTTCTTCATTATCGATTCCATTGCACTCAGTTAACAACTTTATGCGTTACAAAGAGATCCGGTCTTTTTATAAGATCCGGCTTACAATGAAAATCAAAATAAAACAAAGAAATCAAAATTACAACTTCTCTCTTTTACCGAACAAATCACAAGATCCTGTTATCCGGTCTCTTGCTTCTGTGGGTTGTTTGCCTGCGCCGGGGTTGCTTACCGTGGACCACCGCGTGATCTGGATCCAAGCAGATCTACGACGTATTACGGGTATTA